CTCCCCCCCCCCGCAACCTCCCCCCGCAATGCCAGCCTTCCAGAAGATTGCGACGCCCAAAAGAACAGAAGACCAGGCTGCAGCTCTCCAACCGAGCCCTCGAACGAAGCCCCGCTCCTGTTCTGTCAAGGGTCGAAACGGAGAGCGGTTGTTCCCGCTGGAGTCCTCCCATGTGGTTCCCCTGCCACCAGCAGCACCAGGTCGTCTCTGAAGTTGCGCTTCTTCTCCTCCCTGGTGTGGACCCTCGATTCTGGCATTCTTTCGCTCATCCTTGCCGCGAATCGCTCCGAGGAAAGCACGAGCTTGGAGAAACCACTAGGTGCGACAACGGCGTTCAGCCGCTAACATCACTGCTTTCGTCCTCCACACGAGCACACAACGCCTCATCATCGTAGAAACTCTATGCCCCCCCGACCTCTCCCTCCCATGAGCTCCTGGAGCGCCAACTCTTCTCGCCCGTGCCTACTTAGTCGACGGCTCCGGGGGAACGGGGCAACTCGACTCCTAGTCCGCCGTGGTCCGCTGGATAAGCTTCCCAAGATACTTGTTGTAATGTCCTCCCGGCGCCGCGGGCAAGCCACGGTTCTTGACCATCGTCCTCAGGTTCCACCGGAGGTTGAACTCCAGCAACATCGAGTGCGCTGGTGCTGGAGATGCACTGAAGCAGGCCAGCAGGGTCCGCGGTGATGGCCCTGTTGTACGAAGTGAATAGCGGTGGGGACGCGGCAAGAGGGGTGGCAGCCTTGAATTAATACCTTCTAACATCCTTCCTGGTGCAACTGACGGAGATGTCTTCCGTGGGCACAGGCCCCACCAAGGATGCGATTTGAAAACCTGACGAGCAAATGAAAAGCCGAGAAACATCAACACAAACGCTATCACAGAAGCTCTAAAAATCATGGTCCCAGACAGCAGCCAGACGCCGCAGTCGACGTGTCGGACAAGGGTTACAGGGGCTTTGCATTATCGGGGTCCCAACCTAAAATGCTACGTCAGTGACGGACATCATGGAGTTTCGACACGGCAATGCAGACGTGCTCAGATCTGCTGATCTTAGGGCTGTGCTGTTGAAGGCTTCAACTGATAGTATACCCGTGTACGTGTGTTGAAGATGATGGTTTCACTTGTATTTAGGACAGCAGACACGATCACGACGCGGCGGGAGAGGGAGAGTGCCGCGACACAGCAAGCACTCCCGCAGGTCCGAGCTCCGTGGATCAACCATGAAACCAACCCAGGGGATCGATTCCTATCTGCGTAGCCACTTTCGACAGTCCCGTTGGAATATTCTCATCCACTCATGCACACACGAACACCCTCCCTGGTTCTCTACGCTAGTAACTAACCACAAGTGCGCATGCACACGCCGGATGTGACCAAAAAACCAAACGGACAAAAACCAACGCAAAAAAATATCAGGGGGAAACCCGGCCTCCGGGTCAAAACCTNAAGATGATGGTTTCACTTGTATTTAGGACAGCAGACACGATCACGACGCGGCGGGAGAGGGAGAGTGCCGCGACACAGCAAGCACTCCCGCAGGTCCGAGCTCCGTGGATCAACCATGAAACCAACCCAGGGGATCGATTCCTATCTGCGTAGCCACTTTCGACAGTCCCGTTGGAATATTCTCATCCACTCATGCACACACGAACACCCTCCCTGGTTCTCTACGCTAGTAACTAACCACAAGTGCGCATGCACACGCCGGATGTGACCAAAAAACCAAACGGACAAAAACCAACGCAAAAAAATATCAGGGGGAAACCCGGCCTCCGGGTCAAAACCTCCACCAATATTCACCGCTCCATCAGACACTGTCGTTGTTGCGCTACTAGAGAAAGATCAGTACATGCATAATTCTAGTCGCGCCAGAGTCCACGTTCGCGATCTCTATCTACAAGCAAGCGTGGGCGGCGTGCTATCATATTCTGCCTGCATGAAGTACCGATATCATAACCCTGTTTCCAACAACGCCCTATCCCAACTCTTGGTAAGCAATAATAGCGTAAGACTATCCTGAGCAGTTGGTCCAAAGAACTACCATGCGGCTGCACTACTGTCTGTTCTTCAAACAAACATCAGACAAACATCGAAATCGCCCCCCCCTCGCTGACGTAATACAACGCACCGGGGCATAAGGCAATCATCCAACATTTTCTGAGCGACACAAAACCGGCATGCATTTTTCGACAATACATATTCTCGTGGACGTACAACAATGGTGTCCTAATTTCCCTTATACGTTCCTTCAACGGTTCCAACAGTATCCCATCTTCCTGCACATTTCGCAACCTAGAGAACGGCACCACGTAGCCGCAATCAATGAGGATCCTAACCGAATGACTACCAGGAAATACTGAACATGTGGTGGCGAACGCCTACGACAAACACGTAACACCCTCCGTGGAGCTTCAACCAAAGTGCACTCATGACAACTAACGAGGATTACCAACTTCGCTACGAATACTATCAAACACCAAATACCGTCAAGAAAGAAGTGCCAATCCAGCACTGTGATGCGTGTTGCTCCCATCCGAGCGCTCGTCCCGGCCTGTAGCCTCGCCAGAAAGGAGTTCCCGTCTTAGCACCACGATGCAAATACCCTCCCCCCACGCCCCTTCCGACGTGCCGCGGGGTTCCCCCTCACGCCCCTTCCGGCGCGCCACGGGGCTGCTTCCATTTTTTCCCCCGCTCACGCCCCGTCCGACGCGCCATGGGGCCTTTGATTTATTATTTTTTTCCCTCCTCCGGTGTTTGCCATCGGGCTTGGGTTCNCCAACTTCGCTACGAATACTATCAAACACCAAATACCGTCAAGAAAGAAGTGCCAATCCAGCACTGTGATGCGTGTTGCTCCCATCCGAGCGCTCGTCCCGGCCTGTAGCCTCGCCAGAAAGGAGTTCCCGTCTTAGCACCACGATGCAAATACCCTCCCCCCACGCCCCTTCCGACGTGCCGCGGGGTTCCCCCTCACGCCCCTTCCGGCGCGCCACGGGGCTGCTTCCATTTTTTCCCCCGCTCACGCCCCGTCCGACGCGCCATGGGGCCTTTGATTTATTA